CCAGCCGGAGCTGGCCCCAGCCTCCCTGGGCCCGGGAGCAGTGCAGAGGGAGGAGGCCATGTGGCTCCAGCCTCCCCGGTCCTGGAGCAGCAGGAAGCAGCTGCAAGCAGCTGTGCGGCTGAGCCGGCCCAAACCTCCCCGCCCCCAGGAACAAAGGGGATAAAGGAGGCCACATGTATGTCTACCATGACAACAGGACAGGTAATGCTAGTTTAAATAAACCCTTCCCGGCTAGGTGGATTAAGCAACTTCACTCTTTCGTTGAAGAAGTTTATTTCCCCACATACATCCAGCCAGCTACTGTAGATCAGTGGTTCCCAACCACCAGTCATTCTGCCAGGCTACGCCCCCACCACCACTACCACCATGCCCTACTGGGGCAGCCTCATTATAGCCCTGATTCCAGCTCCATGGCAGCCACACAGCCTGGTTGGCGGAGCTGCTTGGCAGGCGGTTGACCCATGTGTTGCAGCTGCAGCCAGGCCATGGTGAGGATGTCCCATTAAAATAAAGAAGATCTGTTTTTAATCTATTTTCTAAAAATATATATATATATTTCAGTTAAAGACCCGAGTAATACCAGGTACATCTGCTAGTAATAAATAAGTAAAACCACTTAAACAAGCAACAGGGGAGAAGAGCATGCTAATTCTTATGCCAGCAAAACTGTTGCTTATGGGTTGAGTTTTTTTAAACACTGTAGAGCAGCGTAAGTTTTGCTGCCGTAAGTGCTGGTGTCAACCTGGCCTAAGGGGGAGCCTTTCAATTATAGACAGCCTTTGGATCAGGCTCATACTAAAATTAGTTGGTGGACTTCAGGTTGCTCATTATATAGAGCAATGGTTCTCAACCCATGGGCCGCATGGGATCCAATTAGCATATACCTGCAGCCCAGCTGTGTGCTAAAAATAAATCAAAATTTGCCCTCTGATCTGGCCGGGGGCTGGCTAAGGTAGAGACAGCGTTAGGCAGCTCTGTTGGAGCATCCCTGCCAGCAGCAGGCCTGTGAGTGCCACAAGGGGGCAGGATGCAAGAGAGCAAGTCTCTGGGGAGGTTTGTGAAGGGATCTGGGCAGCATGGGCACATGAAACAGAGGTCTATGGGGTGCTACTGAACTTCCATATTTTGTGAGGGGTGTTCAGCTCCTGGTTCTGTGCCTGGGGGTGCTGCCTTCCTGGCTCCACTGCTTGAGTCCCAGCTGTCCCACCATCCAACCCAGGGCTCAGTCCTGGCTGCCCTGCCACCCAGCTCGGGGCTCACTGATAGGGAACTGGATGGGACAGTACAAACAAATCACACATTTCATTGTTCAAATAATCAGTGAAGACATTTTGGATGAAACAAGTCAGAATTCATAAGCATCTTTGTGATTCAACAGGTTACAGAACAAACAACCTGCTGTTTGGTATACATCAGAAGGTAAAATTTAAGACATTTTGGGTAACACTGCATAAATAGAAACTGAATATACACAGCCTGCTGTAGCAACATTTGAAAGAGCAATTTCATGGTTTGAGGAATTACTAAGCAGCCTAAATTTGAACTAATGACAAATTGTGGTTTTAGAAACGGCTCATCTATCAGGTCTGACATCTCAAATGAGAGTGGCTCCCTAGAGACTGTGTTGTGTTGGACTGTGGATTTACATTGTGAATAAGTTGCTTCTTCTGAAGATGAAGGTGTTTTTCAAAGCTTGCTACTGTTCTTGACTCTGCAGGATTTAGAAAATCTGGTTTCTCACATCCTGTCTCTGTAACTAAAAACTTGTCCAGGTTCTGGGCATCTTCCATCTTGATTAGCCATACAATCTCTTTTTCCTCAGCATTGTTGATAGCTATCCCTTCCATTCTTAAATGTAGCTGCTAAAATCTTCTTCTTGCATTTATCAAAAGCATCATTCACCTCTTGAGTGCCTCCATTGGCTTCCTCACCATCCTAACACATTTGAATGTCTCATTTTTGTGATCAGTGCACTGCTCAGTTTCACCCATCCTACCTCTTCTACCTTGCATCACGCTGTATCTTCCTCAGCCCCACTTACTTCAATAACAAAGAAATCCCTGATGACTCTTCTCTGTGTCCTTTCACTGTGCATAAGGTACAGGATGCAGAATATTACAAAAATATTGTGCTATTACAAAAATCAGCAGTGAGGGTCTCATCTGGACTATTCTGTGAAGTACTCATCACTCTATTTAAAGAGATACCACAGAACTAGAGGGAGTACAAAAAGCGTTAGCAAGAATAATTAGAGCCATGAATAATCCTAAATTTTTGTAGATGCTTTTACATCTAAGAAAAGCAAGTGAGGATATAATAAAACTATTTAAAATAATAAATATATAGAGAAGCTAGATTAGGAACTTCTGTTCTTTCCATTTCATAACATAAGAGGAAAGGGGCATTAAATGAAATTTCAAAGGTGGCAAATTTGAAACTGATAAAAGGAAATACTGCGTCACATAACACATAATTAGAGAGTGGGGCACTTTGCCACAAGACATCTTTGAGACTAAAAATTTAGCAAGATTGTTTTATTGTTACTTTACATGGATAACTAACTTTGGAAAGCATCTTAAACCTCATGCTTTAGGGCTTAAGTTGATTTCTGTAAGAAAGCGGGATGAGACCTAAGGTAAACGGCATATTCTCCCACATCCACTTAATACCACTAGCTCTCATATGGCACTTTTCATCAGTAGATCTCAAAGTGCTTTAAAATAGAGGTAAGTTCCATTTTATAGATGGGGAAGCTAGGGCACAGAGCTGAAGTTAAGACAATAGGCCAGTTGCAGAGCCAGAAAGAAGGCATACATCTCCTGGGTCCCAGTTCAGTACTCTAGCCATCAGACTACACTGCCTTGCAAGGCTTCCTGCACCTTCCTCTTAAGCATCTGGAAATGGCCACAGTTGGAGACAATACTGGACCAAGTAGCCTTGAAGGTCTAATTTTACATTCCTGTCTTTCTGCAACCTTGCATGCGGCTGCCTTCATATGGAACTCATTCTTAGTCCACCAAATTTCCTCTGTCCTCGCTTAGATGGTTTTGAAAGATTTATTTTTACAAGGCCTGCAATAAGTGATGATGGAAAAGGCAAACACATACTTGAAGAAGTAGCTCTGTTTCTGCAGAAGTTAACACTTGCCCAGGAAACATTTCTACATGCCCTGAGGTAGTAGATTTTTCAATCCCCGATTAAAAGCATTACTCACGCAATGTCTGTTCTAAGATGTAGATCAGAATATTTTGTAAAATACTCCACAGGGCACAGAGGTCTGAATAGCAGAATGGAAAGTCTGAGGAATATAGTTAAAGCAATATTTACAGTGAAAACTGAAGCTTTATTTGATCAGAATTATTATTTATTTTTATTTGATTAATGAACAAATAAAACTAAAACAGTTGCTACACTTTAAAAGGACACTATCAAGCGAGATGTCATGTTTAGGCTTGTAAAGTTTTTTAAAAACCTACCATTCATATAACATAGGAGTTTTGTCACTTCTTTGTCAGTCAGTTTTTAAAAGACATGTCAGGTCAAATTATAGTGTAAAAAATCCTTGTAAAAATATGAAGACATTAAGAAATATTTCCATTAATTCTCTAATTCTAATGACACTTGGTTTAGACTAAACAAATAAAAATTCCTATGAACTGTTGGCAACATTTCAATGCTTAGGATTTTTTCTTGCAAAATTCCACCAATGAAATAAAGGTATGAATAAATCTAAAGAGGTACAAAAGGTCATGTGGACTCTAAAAATGCTAAGTAAGCTAGATTTTATAGTGAAGATAATTAGGAACAAGTTTAACACAAAAAACAAGAGATCATCTACATAGCCTTTTGCATTGGTTTAAAAACTAATTTAGTTAAACTAGTACAATGTATGCTCAAATAAAGCTTCACTGAAGGAAAACCTGAAGTTAAACTGATCAGAAAATAGTCTGCTGTTTCCTTTTTGTTTCTCTTTACTGCAATAATACATAAAGCAATACTGAAAATTTGTGCTTACACAATGCTTCTGGCACTGGTAAGGATTTTTCACACAATAATTTGACAGATGTCTTTTAAAAACGGACTGACAAAAAAGTGACAAAACTCCCATGTTATATGAATCTAAAGTTCTTCACCATATTCACTGTTGCAAAATTAACCAAAAAATAAGGCTAATAAAAAGATTCTCTTTTCTTTATGGACACTGAAATATGACAAATTAATGGCTAAACATTAATTGCTAAAAGATAATATGCCAGCTGAGTACCACAAACTGAACACTCTAGAAATAAAATGTTGTGTATGTAGAAATAAAATTAAAATAAAATGTGTATGCAGAAAATAGGGATGTTAAAAATAGTTTATTTTTGTAAACATGTAACCACTGAATTTTTCAGCGGTCACAAGTTTATGCGCAGGGGACAGGTGGGAGCTGGTGCTCAAGGGCAGCCAGCTTTTAAGCCAGTTCCCTGTGAGCAACAGCTCCTGCTTTCCCCACTTAGCTGCCTCTAATAGAGAGGCAACAGCGTGGGGGCACAGAGTAGCTCCGTGGGAGCCAGTACTCACAGGGATCTGGCATGGACTGGCTCTTGCTTGCCTGTGGGAGGCAGCAGGGGGAGCAGGCAGCTCCACGGGAGCCAGCAAATGCAGAGAACCAGCTTAAAAGCTGGCTCCTGCCTCTCCTCCTTGACAGAAGCAGCAAGAGGTGTGTGTGTAACCATTAGGATTAGCCAATGAGCCCAGGCTGATTGGTTAATTGTGTAAACGGGTACACACCAGCATCCCTAGTAAGAAAAACAAACTTCAAAGTGTTGATGCTGATGTTGCACATTTAACATACAAATGAAGTACAAAACAAACCATATTTTGAAGTAACAGCGAACACATTTGCTGTTAATATTACATTTTCTACGCTAGGGTAGTTGCAATCCTTGTATAAATACCTAATTGTTAGCATAGAAAACTTACACATGGTGAATTGGTGAGAACTGTACTTGACACAGTCTACATTCATTAAGAATGCCCTTTTTACCATTGATTTTTTTTTTTAATTCTAGGAGGCAAGTTTAATAAGCAAATCTGGCACTGTGAGCAATCTGAGACTGAACCAAATGGAATTGTCAGTCATGGCAACAACCTACATTAGCGTTAAGAGAGTTTGCATCAGGCAAATTAACAGCTAGATTTCCATGAGTGCCCACCATTCAGAACACACACTAAATGATTTTTTGGGGAGGTGAGCAAGGAGGGTGTACTCAACACTTCTGAAAATTTGGCCACAAAACGTTTCCAGATGTAGTTTAACTATACTGTAAAAGCACAAATGTAATGTTTTTTATGCAGAAGTTTATGCCACTCACACTTGCCAATGAAAAATTTCTATTTGCCCTGAAGTAGTGACACTTTCATGGAACTGAGTGCTCTGAGACTAAACCAAATTCTTCTAATTTAAAATGTATTACAGATGACAACAGATTTAAAAGTAACTTTTAATACAGAATAAAGTCTGTAGTCCAATTGGTGATTTTATTAGCCACCCTTCCCCCCAAATAGTCAACATAACCTACACTTCTGTAAAAACATACAGGAGTAGAAACAGATCACAGTTAACACTGATACTAATATTTCTCTGCAGGTAAACCTGTGCAACTCCCCTACGTAGTAGGGAGGGATATTAGATATGCAACTGAATAGTCATATAATCGCATGAAATCTTAGCAGTTACATGACTACTCAACAGCCCCTGGGGGAAGGGCTGACAGCTACTACACTCTGGCCCCACTCCCAGGGAGCTCCCTGCCATCCGACACTGCTGCCTCTCTATCAGAGGAGGCAGCACAGAGCTGCAGGCAGAAGCAAGTTTGCAAGGGGAGCCAGATTGAAAATCGGCCCCCAGACAGACCGACTGCTTAATGCCCCACACTGCTGCCTCTGACACAAAGGCAGCAACACAGGGCGGAAGCAGTCCCTGTCCCCAAGGGGTCTGAGCTCCCCAAGGACAGGGGCTGCTGCCAAAGACCAGCCTCTGTCTGAGGGGTGCCCAGGCTGCTGTAGATAGAGACAGCATTTGAGGGGGAGCACACAGCACCACAGAGTGGGTGCTGGGGGAAACTGGCTTTTAAGCCAGCTCCCGCCAGCACCATCTTATGCCTGCCTCCCCTCACTGCCTCTGTAGTAAGAATGTTAAGGACTATCAGACAGAGGCAGCAAAGGGGAAGGGAGGAGAGGGAGTACAGGCAGTCCCCGGGTTACGTACAAGATAGGGACTGTAGGTTTGTTCTTAAGTTGAATCTGTATGTAAGTCGGAACTGGCATCCAGATTCAGCAGCTGCTGAAACTGATCAGTTTCAACAGCGGCTGAATCTGGACACCAGTTCTGACTTACATACAGATTCAACTTAAGAACCCCAGGCGTCCCCAAGTCAGCTGCTGCTGAAACTGATCAGCAGCTGATTCCAGGAAG